GGTGAACTTGGGAATTCATTTTTCCGTCGATGATAGCAATCTGTCCAGGCCCTGATGCAGCAAAGCAGCGCCAAACTCTGAGGCCCCCTCCACCATACTTCACAGTTGGGATGAGGTTTTGATGTTGGTGTGCTGTGCCTTTTTTCTCCACACAGAGTGTTGTGTGTTCCTTCCCAACAACTCAACTTTGGTTTCATCTGTCCACAGGGTGTTTTGCCGGTAGTGCTGTGGAACATCCAGGTCCTCTTCTACAAACATCAAGCGTGCAGCAATGTTTTTCTTGCACAGCAGTGGCTTTCTCCATGGTGTCCTCCCATGAACTCCATTCTTGTTTAGTGTTTTACGTATCGTAGATTCGTCAACAGAGATGTTAGCATGTGCCAGAGATTTGTGTAAGTCTTTAGCTGAGCTCTTGTAGTCATCTTTACAGGACGGCCACTTCTAGGGAGAGTAGCAACCGTGCTGAACTTTCTCCATTTATAGACAATTTGTTTGACCGTGGACTGACGAACATCAAGGCTTTTAGAGAGTCTTTTGTAACCCTTTCCAGCTTTATGTAAGTCAACAATTCTTAATCGTAGGTCTTCTTAGAGCTCTTTTGTGCGAGGCATGGTTCACATCAGGCAATGCTTCTTGAGAATAGCAAACTCAAAGCTGGAGTGTTTTTTATAGGGCAGGGCAGCTTTAACCAACACCTCCAATCTGGTCTCATTGATTGGACTCCAGGTTGGCTGACTCCTGACTCCAATTAGCTCTGTGAGAAGTCATTAGCCTAGGGGTTCACATACTTTTTCCACCCTGCACTGTGAATGTTTACATGTTGTGTTCAACAAAAACATGAAAACATATAATTGTTTGTGTGGTATTAGTTTAAGCAGACTGTATTTGTCTATTGTTGAGACTTAGATGAAGATCAGAACACATTTTATGACCAATTTAATCAGAAAACTAAGAAATTCCAAAGGGTTCACATACTTTTTCCTGCAACTGTACATGTTAAATCTGATGCTACACAAAAACTAACAATGCATCAAAGTCAATATTTTGGATAATGTTTGACATATCCAAGACTAAAAAAACTTTTTTTTAAATCCCCCGGCTCCCAAATATTTGTTATATGGAAAATAACTATTTTTTGTGGTTTTTTTCATAAATAACAATAGTGACATCAAGTAATCAAACTGGCATTTAAAGGGTTCCTTTAAAGTTCCTAAAAATTATTGAATGTTTGGTAGTTTTGAACAGGGCTGAAGTTGTTTAAGAGATTTATGCAGAAAAAAAGTAGGAAAAAAAATCAATCTGTTCTATTTTTATAGCAGTTTTTTGGGCGTGGACATTTTTGTCCTGAGTGACTTAAGAGGGTAGTAAACATGTTTCACAGTGTTCTATTGATCAGTTAGAAAATTAAAATGTGCATTCCAAAATGTGTCAAGAGAGAGACTTTCTGACAAAATGATGGCCAGATGAAGAGGTAGAAGTTGACCAAATGGACAAAAATGTCCATAGTGATGCATGAGGGTTAACCTGTGTGGGTTGTGAAGTAGAGATGCTGATAATATGTTTGCGTATTTGTATGTGTTAAAAGTCATTCCATTCATTTATTGGTAAAGTAACGTGTGTCTTATCCATCCAGCTCGCAACCAGGCCTTCGACGTGGTGCTGGTGGACACTGCTGGGCGTATGCAGGACAACGCCCCACTCATGACGGCCTTAGCCAAACTTATTGCAGTCAACATGCCTGACCTTGTGCTGTTTGTGGGAGAAGCTCTGGTGGGAAACGAGGCTGTTGACCAGCTGGTAAGGCCACTGACAACATCTGTCCTCTCCAGATCAGACAGAGAGGAAATGTAAATAATTAAAACCTCCAGCAGAGGTCAGTGTTGATCTGCTTTAGTCTTATTTGTGAAACAGATGGTTATCATCCTTCTCTATACATACATATGGAAGGATGGTGCTGTACATGTTAAATGTGTTGGAGGTGTTCCCATGAATAACCCAACTTTCATTTCCTCTTGTCATCAGGTGAAGTTCAACCAGGCTCTGGCAGACCACTCCATGTCGGACAAGCCCCGACTCATTGATGGAATCGTTCTCACCAAGTTTGATACCATCGATGATAAGGTACTTTCATGTTTTTTCTCTTCCGTTCTGTCTTTTTGTCATGGGGGTGTGGTCTTTTAAACGATCGTTTGATTTGGTCAATGATTTCTCTGTGGCGGTTTTATGACTTATGGATCATTCCCATGTGGAAAGCTGATAACGTCATCCTTCTTTTCCTTCACAGGTCGGCGCTGCCATCTCCATGACTTACATCACAGGCCAGCCTATTGTATTTGTGGGCACCGGGCAGACCTACAACGACCTGCGCAGCCTCAATGCCCGCGCCGTGGTCAGTGCCCTGATGAAGGCTTAAGCGGCTGCATGTTCTGCTGTTTTATTCATCGCCTCAACAAAAGCCAACAATACCTTTTGCCACGCTGCCATGAGATGCTCCAGCCCCCGCTAACCTGCAATTTTCTTAACCTCCAGTCCTGGCCTGTTCCACTCTACTTTGCTACGATTAGAGAACAAATGTAGGAACAAGAAGGACTCCATTCTCCCAGTAAAGGACAAGCTTAAAAAGACAAAGCCAGAGGGGTGACCCTTTGCATCATTTCAAAACTTTGAGGCCTACATTAAGGTACCTCAGACCAGCCTGAGTTTTGAGAGACACAAGTTCAATCATGACATTTTAGCTGACTAAATGGACCTAGGCTGTAAATGTCAACAGTTTACTGGTTTACACAGTAAAGACTTCCCAAACCTGGCGTTTTGTCAGTCACTTTTCCCCTCTTCATGTAAATGAGGTCAGGTTGTGAGGACCTGCTGAATGTGACATTTCGGCAGCTGCCTGTGCCTGAGGAAAGCTTAGTGACCGTAGTGCCTATCCGTCTCCTGTCTTCTTAGTTAACACTTTCACTACATGGATGGATGGCTGTCCTTTTTAAAGTTCCATGGCATTGCAGCTAACTCCAGGCCTGAGGAGTTAGCAATTATGAATTTACATGTGCCCCTGTCAAAAACATCAAACAATGCTTTGCTAAACAAGGTGATGGACCCCAGGAAGAACAGCTGACCTCTCAGGTACAGCCAATTGAAACCTAACAAATAAACTGACAACTGTGGGTGAACTACTAATGACCCTTTGCCTGCCTAACACACAGATAATACAGTTTCATTATAAACATTGAGACTTTGATCCCCCAACGTTTATAGTTCATTCAGGTGGAATGGTTTTATAACTTCATTTCTAGGTAGTTCTTAAAGGTTGTGTATATTTTCAGAGTACACCTTCTGGTGTGGTCAGTTGGAAGTTGTCTGGCCACCTTTGTTTTTCCCTCAGCAGTTTTTTTTTTAGTCTTCATCTCTCTCTTGCCCCCATTTAATTTGTGGAAGTGCAATACAAGAGAATCAAGAGATATACAGAAGATCTGAGTTAATTTATGAGAATGTAAACATTTTTAAATAAAGCTGCTATATGCTATTCACCGCCTGGAAAGCGGGACTTGTTCTGTCATGTGTTGCAGGGAACAGGGTGAATGGACTCGAGCTTATGTAGCACTTTTACAGTCTACTGACTACTCAAAGTGCTTTTACAACTGCAAGTCACACCTACACATTCACACACTGATGGTAGAGGCTGCTATGTAAAGAAACAATCAGAAGTTACTAATCCCATTTATAAGCAGCAGGAGCAATTTTGGATGCACATTGGACATGTGGCTGCGGGAGCTGGGTATCGAACCCCAAACCTTCCGAGACGACTGCTCTACCGACTGATCCACAGCTGCCGCTGTGGTGGTCTCTGGTCCTATTACAGACCACTCCAGTACATTCATTATTGAAATAACAAGACAAGTGGGATACCAAAAGCTTTATTTTGAAAATGGGACATATAAATACGATATCAGAAAACACATGCAAGTAATAAAAATACAAAAAAAGGCTTATCAAGGACATTTTCAGCACAGGAGTGGCAAAGTGATTGCTACTGGCTGGGAGCTTCTCTGCTCTGCAAACATTTTCTTCTGGACTTTTAAAGACAACTTTAAAGTAGTGTAACCTTCCATGACATAGGATTGTTTTTGACCTGTCCACCTTCCTCACCCAGTAGTGTGCAAATCAAGTTTTTTTTTCTCTGGATCAAGGGTCGAGCGTGACAGACCGAATCCTTACATAATCAGCGAGAGACTGATTTCAGTTAAGATAAGATGAGTTGTGCGTTACAGCATGTGACCTAGAACATCTACAGGGCAGGTCGGTTCAGCTGAAACAGTTTGTTTACCTGCATTTGTCTATCTCCATATCCAAACATTGAATCAATACATCACAGTCAACATCTGTAAGTAGATCATCATTTTTGTCATTTATGATTTGAGATATCTTCCCATCATCTGCATATTTAAAAAAAAAAATTTTTACTGGTGTTCACCAGTTGTTGACAAACATTTAAATACAGTACAACATTGTACAATTAAGGTCAGGTCATTGCATTTAAAGAAACTTTAAACTTCTCCTTTCCCTTTAAAACAAGAACCAATAAAAGGAAAATGATAGACATCTGTAAAGTACTGACAGCTGTAAGATCTCCTTTGGCCCAGAGTGTTCCAGGATTCTTAAACACTTTGAAATCCTAGTTAATACTATTCAAAGAAGACCAATCTGTCAATGGAGGGAACGGAATGATACTGATCCCGACCGTGTGTCTGTCAAGAATTATATTGTGTGTGTGTGTGTGTGTGTGTGTGTGTGTGTGTGTGGGGGGGGGGGGGGAGAAAAAGAGAAGGAGGGGAGTTAAGTAACAGCTGTGAAACAATGCATCAATCAAACAGTTGCAAACTGACTGCCCCGCGTGCAATCCAGCAAAGTCAGCTGTATCTGTGGAAAAAGAAGACCCAACAGGTCTCTGATGGTGAAAAATCAAGAACATACTTCTATCAGCAAGCAGTAAGAATACAAGAGTCATGACAGAGCTTTATTGTTTTACTCTGGAAATGTTTCTTGGAAGTTGCCACTGCCTGAAGCCAAAGAGGAGCATTCAGTCCTAACCTTGAAGAAGGCTCTTCTGTGTGTTGAATCCGTTCTGCTGTTCTTCCCCATTTTGTGAGGGAGAGCCTGAAGATGAAGATTAAAAAAAAGAAAAAAAGGATTATATATAAGAGGCAAATCAGGTTATGGGAGGTAAAAAAAAAAAAGAAATTTGCTATTCCAGAAGAGGCATTTAAAGAAAATGACTCAATACTTTGTCTTGGGCCAACAATTAGATTGAGAACATGACAGATTAACTTGCTTTTAGCTTCGGCTAATTGTTAAATATTGTTCTTTCAATTAGTCGAGACACTATAAATAAACTTTCTATTCTATAGTAGTTTAATTTCAGACTGATTTTTTTCAATCAAAATAAAAGCTTGCGGGGCGCTGGTGGAGCAGTGGCAGCGCGCGCGTCCCATGTGTTGAGACTCTCGTCTCGAGCAGTAGGCCCGGGTTCACTTCCACCCGTGGCCCCCTTCCGCATGTCATTCCCCACTCTCTCTCCCTGGTTTCCCACTCTATCCACTGTCCTCCCTCTGAATTAAAGGCATGAAAAGCCAAAAATAAATCTTTAAAAAAAAAAAAAAAGCCTGCATCTGATTTTGTTGACTAAAATATCTTCTTTTTTCGTCAACTAAAATGATGTGCAATTTTAGTCAGTGACTAATTGACTAAATACCAAATGGCTAATGTCTGACTAAATATAAAGGACATTTTCGTCAGCAGACTATGACTAAATTAGAAAATGGTGTGAAGATTAACACGATCTTCCATCATGAAAGTCAACAGCATATTTTTCACCTGGCCGCTTTGATTTGCTTTGACTTGTTCAACATTTGTCTCTGGAGCTGATGTGGCTCAAGAGAAAAACAATTATCAGTGACTGGATTCCCTCCTTACCCCAGCCGTTGGTGGACACGTCTCTGTTGCAGATTTCATTGGCTAGCCTCTCAAAGTACTCAGGCAGGTCAGCGTACTCGTCTCCATAGGAGATGACTTTGATGCCCTTGTCCAGCATGTTGTCCCGCAGCTTCTTGAACTCGCCCACGTCCTCGCGCCGCACCAGCATGAAGTGCTCCAGGTCCGACTTGTGCTTGACCGCCTCCAAGAAAAGAGCCTGGAAGGTGGTGTCGTCCACCGTACGGCCGCAGCCCAGAAAAACAAAGGATTTGGTCTCGTAGAGCTTCTGGATCTCCCGCTGTTGAAACCAGCAGTTGTGTTTATTACAACACCAAAAACAAAGAAGAATCAAAATGCAGCAGCACAGCACACATTGAATTACACAACCCTTGCCTTAATATAGTAAAATGAAATGGTTGATGGCTTTATACTTATGGCATTTAGTAGAGAATCTGTTGCAGAAAAAGTTGTTCATCAGAAACAAAACCTGAAGTTTCCCCGGACTCACCATGACCTCAGTGTTCCTCAGTACATTCTGGTAGCCAGCAGGGTGCAGCACAATACCACTGGGGTTGGTGTAAACGCCGTGGATATGCAAAACACTTAACCTCCGTTTCTCCTGAGCCCACTCCAATACCTACACACACACAGACACACACACACACACAGACACACACACACACACACAGACACACACACACACACACACACACACACACACACACACACACACACACACACACACACACACACACACACACACACACACACACACACACACACACACACACACACACACACACACACACACACACACACACACACACACACACACACACACACACACACACACACACACACACACACACACACAGAGTTAACAGTCCATTGCACTCAATCCTGTTCTGGCTGGGCAGGGAGTAAAATCAGTAAACAGCAGTGAAAGGATATTAGCCCTGATGGAGACGGGGCATAAATACCAGGACTGAGAGGCAGGCAACAAGTCTCTAACAAAACACTGACTAACCCTTTCAAGTTTGTGGTTTATTTAAATGTAATCAAAGCAACTGTAAATGCAAAGGGACAAGACAGACAGGATTTTACAATTCAGATTTCAGAGTTTCTAGTCAGGAAAAGACACAGACTTATCTCTGAAAAAGCATGCTAACCCTGCAGTGAAGTCTTAAGCCAAAAGTAAATATTGTTCAATCAATAAAATTCGACAGCAGCTGAGTAATGGCTAGAACTTTAACCTTCTCCCACCTGCGAGACACAAATGACTCCTTCAGTTCAAAGTATCATCTACTGTACGTTGCTGCAAAACTTCCTGAAACAAGGAGCAATATGAGTGAAACATAAAATGACCTTTGCACTGAAAAAAGCTGCCCGGATGTATTGTGGCAGAAAAAAGATAATCCAAACCCTGTTTACCTTCTTTTCATCCGTCAGGTCCAGAGACTCCAGCTTGGTGTCCTGGTGAGCAGCATAGATCTCCAACAGGTTGTCAAAGTTAGTAGTGAGGACCAGGGCTCCACTCTCCATCAACTGCAGCACAGAGCGCAGTAAATGTTTCCCCGCGTGCTCCATCTTGCACTCCAAATCGTCAAACACCTCGTATAGACAGTCCTTGAAAAATGTTGATCGCACGTTCCCAGTTCTCTGTAAAATAAAAATAAAAACATCATAAATAACAAAAAGGGAATGGATAACTGACTCAGAGTTATTTCATTTACTGTTCATGTATATTTAGTAGGCAATGACCTAGTTGGTTGTTCTCACACAACTGCAGGTCTTAAATCTGGAAGTTTAAGTCTAACACAAAAATTATTATAAAAAAATAACATGTTATATACAGGTACAAGATTTGGTCAGGCCTCGACAAAATCCTGGAAATGATCACTTCTTTACAACTTAAGACAACAAGAAAGTTTGAACTCAGAACAGAAGTCTATATGAACTCTTCAAACATACACTCGATCAATTGTTAGCACCTTTACACAGCACTGAAAGCAGTATGAGGAAATGGGGAAGTTCAGCCCGGTGATCTCATTTATCAAGAGGAAGTTGACTATTTAAAAATATTATTTGCTTTACTGTTTTTTTAAAAACCGGCCTGCCTTTCATAGTCACCAAGGAAACAGAACTTTGAGAGTATCTTACTTCTGCGTCGTGACGCATTTACTACTGAAACGGGATCAAACTGAAGTTAAACACAACCTGCACATGCTACTGTAAAGATAATGTACTGTTATTCTGACTTTGAATGCTGTGTTAACCATCTGAGGGGCTGATTCAATAACTAACCTCTTCTGTAAACGTTTCACAGAAAATGACATTTTTTGCAGGGCTGTAATACGTTTTTGCTTATGTCCTAATACCAGAGTGCAAATGATGTGTAGCCAAATCAGCACTTCTTTTTGTAGTCACCCAAGATATAAAGGATTCTGGCTTGTGTACTTTGCATGCCTTAAGCTGTAACTTAGATCAGTGCTAGCTTCTCAAATAGTGATGTACCTCTGGCGTCAAGCATGACAGAAGAATGTTCCAACATTTTTTTTAAATCACATTTTGTTTGAACATGCTTCAGCACCACTCCACCCTCCTGCTCTGTTTCTTGCAGGAATCCAAGTGGTTTCCACAGAGCCCAAACTATTATTCTCCCGTGAGATTTCAGGGGTGTGTCTAACCACATCTAAGCTCAAGGGTTTCTTTGTTCTGTATCAAACAGCCTCTCCGATCCATCCCAGAGCTCTTCAAGTAGTAACGTACACACCAACTCAGTCTGCTTAGAGATTTAGGGACAGGACTACATGGTCTAAATCTTATGCGGGAAGAGCCAATCAGCTAAGAATAGCAAAAGGTAGTGCAAAGATGCAGTGAGCAAGGTGATCCTGGTGCAGGGAAATGCTCTGCTGGCTTCCAGAGATTACAGCTCTAATGGGCTGAACAGTAGCAGTCTTTTCCACAGGAAGAAGCTCATTATCCACATCTAGTGTCTACAGCGTAATCACAATGTCCTTGGACTTATGTAATAATCACAACAAGTGTATGTAAACAACTCCGGTTTCTAAATATTCATCCAAAACCCAAACATGTGTTTATTTATTTAAAATAAAAGTTTATGCTCTCTCTGGAAGGCCCTAAAGTCAACGTGTATAAAGTTGATGAAAAGTAGAAGAAGTGGTCTCACAGATGCTGACTATTGACAGCTCTGATGATACTCCATAATACAGTATAAGGAGAGATGCATCATCTTTTTACACAGACGGGCATGGTTACATCACAAGGACAGCTCTGTAGGGGTAAGTTAACTGAAAGTCACTATAACAACAAGGTATGCAGAGGGCTTTATCATTTAAAACTCTCTGATCATCACCAATATGTGTATAAATAGATTGAGGGAAAGTGTTCCTCCACTGACCCCTTTTGGAAGTTGTTGTTTATATTCCTCACCCTGAAAGTAAACGAGTCAGCAGAGTTGCAGTTAGCCTTGTTTTTGTAGAGGTCAAATGTGTGAGAAGATTTACAACGAACGCATTCTGCTGAGATTTAACTTCAGATTAGCCTCATTACCCACTGCTGTTTGCTCGCAGTCTACTATAATTCCGCTACTTTCCGTGAAATTAGGTTAAACTCTTACAGCATTGGTACCTGAATAAACGGGACTGAGGGCCCACCCCCCCCTCATATTTCACTTTTCACAGAATATTTTGATTAAACCACACATGGTTTAATAATAGATGTGCTTTGAAGAACATTAAAGTCACATATTAAGCATATTTGTATTTCACATTAACTTAGCTCAAATTTGATTGCCTTAAGGGAAATTTGCGAGTTGTTTTTTGTGAATGAAATCGCGACAAATGCATGCTTGCTTGCAAATCTGTGCTGGGGGCTGCTGGTTCACATTAGTCTATACTTGTTTTTTTTTTCCTCAGCATGCTAAAGCCTGTTGTGCTTGTAGCCAACAGCATTAAGCTAGTGTCTGCACAACTATGGATTGAAATGAACATGATGGATAAAGCCATAAAAGCGCTGTTTGTTCCCTTTGTCACAACAGGCAGCAGGCTGAAACAAAGAGCTTTTTATCAATGTCAAAGGTGCGATGAGACATGACTAACACAGGATGCAAACGGTTTTAAGGCTCCCATCTGCCAGCCCTGCTCCAGAGCAAACCAGTCCAAATCCAAAAACCTTCTCACAAGGTTTTTTCAAGAATCAACATCTAGAATTCTGTAATAAGAGCCAGAGATTCTCACTCATATTGAACAAATTCCTCCCAGTCACAGCACATTTTCTGGAGCCTGTGACAGTTTGTCAGCCACGGTGATGCCCTTTGAAGGTTCTTGGTGAATATGTTAGTTTGATTGGCAAGAAGGACGTGATAATATTATGGACTTGATGGTTCATCAAATTTGAAAGTGCTACCTGATGTTAAGCCTTGCTCAGAATGTCATAGACAACAGGATAAGACTCCTTAAGTGTACAAGAACAACGATTTATCAGTATTGGTTCTGAAGAAATTTGAAGAATAAGACTGCTCAATAATATGAGTTAAATTGCTTTTCAATATGAGAAATCATACACATAAATCGCAACTGCAAATTCATGAGCCGCCCACATAAAAAGGATACATAGCTTAATTTCTCTTATTAACAACTACATTTTGATGCATGAGTCATAACATATGCTGCTTATACACTTCAAGCATTTGTTTTGGAAGGCTGAGAAGGGTTAAAAAATACAACACTTCTTTGGATTAAGCTGGGTCTTTGTAACATAACAATAAGTAAGGTCTTTTACCTGCTTTTTGTAACATAACAATAAGTAAGGTCTTTTACCTGCTTTTTGTAACATAACAATAAGTAAGGTCTTTTACCTGCTTTTTGTAATATAACAATAAGTAAGGTCTTTTACCTGCTTTTTGTAACATAACAATAAGTAAGGTCTTTTACCTGCTTTTGTAACATAGTAATAAGTAAGGTCTTTTACCTGCTTTTGTAACATAGTAATAAGTAAGGTCTTTTACCTGCTTTTGTAACATAGTAATAAGTAAGGTCTTTTACCTGCTTTTGTAACATAGTAATAAGTAAGGTCTTTTACCTGCTTTTGTAACATAGTAATAAGTAAGGTCTTTTACCTGCTTTTGTAACATAGTAATAAGTAAGGTCTTTTACCTGCTTTTTGTAAAGTGTCTTGAGATAACACTTGTTATGAGTTGACGCTATACAAATAAAAATTGACTGATTGATTGATTTGGTTCAGCTGACCAACTTTCATTAGAGAGGTTTTTATTTTATTTATGCGAGATCCTTTGGTACGCAAAAAGCAGAAATGGGAAACACCGCCTGCTTCGGGTGCTTCACTGATTCCACATAAACTGACTCAAAAGATTTTTTGCAAATAATTAATTCTTTGAAAAAGAAGCACTAACCCGTGGGCTGTTTGCTTAAGGTATTTTAATGAGATACACTGATTTCTTATCTCAATCAATACAAGTTGAACAAAATGTCCCTAGGTGAGGGGAAGACAGTGTGCTGGCAGTCTCTCTGCCATGTGTTTGTATATGTGCGACAGGATGTTGTGGTAAAGGAAGGTAATAAAAAGGGCCCAGGCAGACTTACCGGGGAAAGTTTCTGAATGAGGTCATGGGCCACATGCACTAAATCTTATCTTCTTGCATGTGCTTCTGGAAACGCCGACTCTCTTCCTCCTCTAGTAGGTCAAAGTCATTTGCTGCATCAAGCAAGGCCTGGATGAGGCCTTTCCAGGAGCGAGAGCAGGGACCTGAGGGGCCACTGCAGAGCTTACCCCTGTGCCAATCACAAGGACAAGCTCAGGGGCTCGCTTTGTCTTCAAGCTGGGCAGGAGTTTCCTTTGGGGCAGAAAGTGGATGCATGATCATTGGTGCGAAGATGACGCTTCTCAAATCTTTCTGCCAGCATGAATATTAAACAAACTATTTTTAAATGCTAAAATATTTAATGTGATACTAAAACCAACATTTTAAGGAGCAACAATAATTAAGAAACTCAAGATTAAAGCAGCCCTGTTGTATGTGTTACAGACAGATGGTGTAGCGGGCTCAAACAGCACCTGAGCTTACCTTGGTTTTTTTGCATTTGAGTCTGCATCCTGAGAATCAGCTGCAGGTCGCTTCTCAGTTTTCACTGCAACAACGGAGGCCATTCAGCTCCTGTAACAGAAACATGATCGACCACATGTTAACTCTGATGACTTGTTAAACTAACAATAAACATCACAAACACAAATCATGTTGTTGGTTGTCAATTTATAGGTCCCCCTTTTAAAAAACCTGAAAGTATTTCAATTGTATAATTGAGAGAAGCATGCCAGGTCGTAGTTTCTTGGTGAATGAAACATAGTGCTGCCTGCAGGTCTTCTCTGGAAATGTATTGAACATTTTGGAAAATAATGTAAAGAATTCCATTCTGGCAACACAGCTTGCCTGATGAGCCATGCGGTGTGGCATTTCACTGTCAGGCTATTGTTCCAGAAACTGTCATCGACAGTGGGACATTAGGTCGTTTTAGTTAAGCAACTTTAGGGTTTTTTAAATGTTGTTACATAACTCTTACATTAAGATGTCCCATCTGCTGAACAGCAAGTCTGAGTGAGCACAGAGACACCTAGGAGTATCTTTGCCAAAAACAAACAGATACAACGTGACCTCTTAAGCTGTAGTAAAGGTAAACAGACGTTAAAAATACTTACCAAATGATAGGTGGTTAGTTAAGGTCCAGTGTTTATTTATCTTCCAAAAGAAATCCTTTTGATCGTCAGACAGTAGTAGTCGATTGAGTGAAACCGTGAGCCACGTTAAAAACTTGTGAATCTATGACTCAAGAGTTTTTAATTGAATTATGTAAAAGCTAACCAGATACTAACGCTCGCGTCGGAGTTAGGCTAGTTAACTGGGACTGTATCACCAGAGAATAAAACACAGACCTGGTTTGCGTTAACTACAAACTCCGGTTAAGCTAGCGTTGGTTTGGTTTAATGCTTTGAGCTAACTTATCTCCGAGGTTTTTAAAAGCACGACACTTCCTATGTTTTACCTAACATCCTGAGAGTAGAGTAATAACTGCTTTATAAAACTGATTTAGAAAGTCCTCTGAAGCAAAACAATCCTATGTCACTTAATTCACCCTCAGTACCTTTATAACCCCGACACTTAGTCCGGCAGCTTCACTTCAGTGTTCAAGTCACCGCCTGCTGTGATGTGCGTGTGCGCCCGGTCTTATGATGCCTTCATGTACTCCCCGAAAAACTGATTTACTATTCACCTTTATTGTCCCACAGGGGGAATGGTCTCTATGAGAATGTCTCAATTCCAATCAGCCCTATCCGTCAGTAAAATAAAACAAGTATTTTTTTTTAACATGACAGAATAGGACAGCACACACCGTTAACAAAAAAGTAAAGGAATTTGTATGAGCAAGTATTCCAAGACCATAGACACTCAGGCATTTTTTAAAGGCAGTGTTCTATGATATTAAATGGTTAAATGGCAGTGCATTTTGAATATATATATATATATATATATATTTTAACTCCACTGCATAAAAAAATATAGCAATGCCATTTTTAAGTAACGCTAGGGAGCGTGGATTTTCGACGAACACTCAAATGCAGCAAAGCACTCTGACGTAAACCACGAATGAGGGGCTATACAGCAGATAATGTAAAGTACAGTATTCATGAGTTACAGTTGTTTTCAGCACTGTTGCTCACTGAATCTGTAATGCTTGTAGTCATGAAATTAGTGTGCAGACTTCAAACTTTTTGGAGTGTGGGACGTCACGTTTTTCACTTTCTAATGAAGCATCATTCACACGTCCAAGTTATGTAAAAGGCCTAGACCTACTGACAAATCAACCAATGTTTAAAAGCCTCTGATTAGACATCATGATCTATATAAGTTACAGAAAACAATTATAATCAGAAATTCATTTATGGCCCAGCAAACAAACTTTATTTGAAACCTAGGGGTTCCAAAAAAAGAAACGTAGACTATTAGATTTTACATCAATCAAAATGTTGTTGTGATTCTCCTAGCACATGTCAATAAATCAATAGGCAAATGATTTATCAGATGTTATGTTTCCCCTGTTTGAATCCATTCAATAACTTATGCTCAATAGAACCACGTCAGCATAGATCTCCTCAGTAAAAGTTCTACTATCCTGCCACCTGCTGTTTCAAATAAAAACTGCATTTGCAAAGTATTTAGAGCAAAAGTCACAGCTTCATGTCAATAACGTTGGCCATACATCAGTGTTTTGTCTTACACGCACCAAGATGTGTTTCGTTATACGTAATTAAAACAACTCCTCTAATGCAGTAATGGAATACAAGTTAGGTAGCTTTAAGTTACTCATGATGCTACTTAAAACATTTCCCACAGTGGTAAAGTTTGTATCTCTGCTCCACTAGAGTAAGCCATTACATGTCCTAGTGACAAGTTCTTATGAAATTCACATCTGAGACTATAGTAACATGATGCTTAATGCAGGAGATATTTACACTATCCGTGAATCTTCTTTTAAGATCTCTGACATTAATATCACATTTTTCATCAATAGCCACATGACGTAAAACCCTGTGAGAAGTTTTAAACAGGTTATGAAACAAATAAATAGACATTACTCTTTATGACTACAAAATTAAATTTTCCATCAGTGACAAGATTGACTATTTCATATAGTATTTATTTTTAGTAAACACTGCCACATGTTCAGTGACATGCAAGAAGATTTTCAGCATGTTGAAAAAAAAAAAAAAAGGCCCTTTTTACATTTTCAACAGAAAATATTCCAAGTAACGTATACATTTCCTGTGAATAGAAAGCGGAACAAGATTTTTTGACAGAAAACCTTACTGACGCAAGTACAAGATCAGAGAAAGGAACTAAGAGGTACAGTACCAACGAGTCCATAGGGTCACCAAATATCCACATAAAGAGTTCCTCACAGGAGTCTTAAAAGTGGGACCAAAGTCCACACAAAATGCTAAAAGATCCAGATTTGCAACTCAACAAGTTGTATGGAGTGCTAGCAATATGAAGAGAAAAGTAAAATATGTTAACAATATAGACATTCATTTTATACTAAATGTTTAAGAAAAGCAGATGTTACTGTCCCATTAGTTCCTTTAATGCACAGCCTTCAGTCTCACTCTACTTTTTTAAGCTCACTAATGAAAGTTAAAAAATTAAATCCATCCATCATCTTGATCATTCAAAGTCCAATCATTTATTTGAGAATTCATCCAAATGTACATTCGATGATTAATAGTTTAAAATACATACCGTCCTTACATTACTAAAAAAAAACAGTTTAATGGAGTGACATGATCCACAATTTTTTCTCTGAGTACATTATGTTATCATTACAGTGCAATGAATATTTTGTAAAGGCCCATTTAAAATGGTAGCCCATATCAATTTATACAAGTTAAGATTAAATATAATTTAAATTCACAACTGAATCAGCAGACACCCTCAACCGATACATATCAATGTATTCAATGTACAATCACATATAATAAGGCATACCTTCATTCAATCTTATACATTCAAAAGAATATTTCACTTCAACACAAATTGATTCCTAATCATGTGCGGATAAACAATATTGCACCTGTAAGATTTCACGTTGTCCTAATAAAAAAAGGCTCTTTGTTTATTTGATAAGAGGAGAAAAAGGAATTCTGGTTGAATTTGAGAAGTTTAACCAGTGCTCTCTCACAAACGATGTATTTGCCATCATTATCTCAAGTTATAGCAGGCTGTTTTAATGTGGAAAATCTAACCCAAAGCCCTTGAAGATGAAAAGTCCTGACACAAAGAAAGTGTTATACTTTTTACTCCTCTCCTTAAAAAAAAATGCAGCAAATCGTATAAACTACGATATGAACCTTAAAGTATGATGATGCAGAGAAAAAGGCTTCTGATTCAAGGCTGGCAGCCAGAGTTTCATATGAAATGTATAATATCATAAATAAAAAGTCCCTTTGCATTATGTCTATAAATATTCTGAAAACTGTGAGTTTATGATGTAGACATATTGTAGCCACGGCTGCAGGTTTATGAAGATGTGTTAGTGATATTGTTTTTATGAGTCTGATGAAGGAAGTAGTTCTTTGCAGATGACCATTCATGGACTTTCAAAGGGGAAGTGAAATATGGCTTTAAGGGCACAAAGGATTAGCATAGGTGTAGTCAGAGTTGGGCTCTACAGCATCCAACAGTGTTTCCCTCTTCTCTATAAACCTCCATAGAGCATGACAGTCAATGAAAAAGTAGAAGAAGAAGAAGAAGAATGTTCTGTTTCAAGAAGTCACAGAGTCTCTATACAGAGATGGAGCCTTCTCTAAAGTTGGTTTTCCCTATGAGAACATTGAGAAGTATAGCCTTGCCCTCCTGGCTTTCCCTTTGAGCCTCCCTGATGATGTCACTGAGCTTGTCTTCGTCTTCTCGTCCTACAAGGTAACCCTTACCCCCATAACCATCTGCCACTGTATGATAATCTGTGGAAAGACAAAGAAATGATGATTAACCAGTTGATAACCGCTGAGTCTTCATACATACAGGATGTGTATAAACGTTCAGTGTGCGTTATGACATGTATATACGCTTTAAGCTGTTACAACCATAGACTGTAAATATTAATGGATGAAGCCTGAGTGACGTCATCTACCTTTTATGGCAGGGGGGCTCCGGAGGCTCAACTGTCTCAACCTAACTTTCAGTCAACCTAACTACAGACTGAGGTGGGTTTTAAGCCTCTTGACAAACCGTTACATTGCACCCACCTGTCAATCATGTAAGCTATGGGCATAACTATGGATAACTGGTATCGTTCATAAAATCTACATCTGTATGTCTGTGTCCCCCCCCTTACAGTGTGTGCCCATGATGACAATTACTAATAAAATCAATTTTGTTTTTTGAACCAGGCTGTAAACATGTTAAATTCTGCTGTAAAAACAGGCTTTGTTTTAATGTAGTGTGTATGTGACTTCTGGGATCTTGGAGCCAGCATCAAGCAAATTTTGCACTTCCACATTGGCTTCATTTTTCAACACCGGAGGTTGCCGCTTGGTCACAACAACTATAAAACAGCATTTGGTGTAGAATATTTACCTGTAAATGCAAGACCACATGCAACGTTG